GTGCTGTGTAGACGTGCTGTGTGGACGGATGTGCTGTGTGGATGTGCCTTGTAGATGAGCTTCATGGATGAGTTATGTGCACCCGCAGGCTACGTGTCAGCCCTGCACATGGACAGTGGGCAGCAGGAGAGTGCCCTCACTGAAGGGAGGTGAGCTGTGGCCCCAAGTGTGCACCCTTCTCAGTGTGAAGGTCAGGGAAAGCACACGGCAGGGTGACCAGGAGAGGCCCTGATCGAGGGCCAGTGTGCACAGCCGAGCAGACCGTGGCCTGGGGTTACGGCACAGCCTACCTGGGTGCAGTCAGCCTCAGTCCTTCTGAGCACCTGCTCACCTGCTTTTCTTAATCCTCTCTTGCTGATTAGTACGGCCTGGGGAGCAGCACCAAAGCCTCTTTCACCCCCTTCGTGGACCCCAGAGTGTACCAGACGTCTCCCACTGACGAAGACGAAGAGGATGAGGAGTCGGCGGCTGCAGGTGAGCTGGACGTCCTGCGACAGGCTGCTGCGGCCAGATGAGGAAATTAGTCACCAGCTCACAGCTAAGCCCGCCATTACTCAGACAGGGAAGGGGCTTTTTAATCATGATTTTTGTAGGATTCTTAAAACAAATTTCTCTCCATTTTTTTTTCCATCTCTTCTATTTTGCTTCTGGTAGGAACCAAGAGGTGTCTAGGGACCCTAGGAAAAGCTGTTCCTCAGCGGTCTTTGAACTTCCCCCATATCTCCCAAAAGCAATTTCTGGGTACAATGCTGTGCATACAGTAGACACTTAGCAAGTGCATGCTGCCTGCCTTGGCTCAGGAGTGCGCTCTCCACCGGGTCTGGCTGGTGTTGAGGGCAGCGTTGCTTTCTAAACTTCTGTGAGTGATTAATCATCAGCATCAGCTTAGGCTAATTTTTTACTTGATAATCTGGAATTTCAAAAAGTAAATCTTTCTTGCATATATTACAGGAGGTGGGTATGCTGTGTTATTTTCTAAACTGAGTAGTGTCTATAAGCTTGTTTTGTTAATGAATAAAATACTTCTTCATCAAATGACTTACACTCTAGTCTACTAAAACAAAAGCGTAAACTAAGTACAGTTTGAGCTGTCTGTGCCCCGCCACAGTGCGGACTAAACGCAGTGTTGGGAAGCCCTGTGTCTCCTCAGTTACCTGTCAGGAGGTCACTGACCCCTCTGGTTCTTTTTCTCAAAGCTCTGTTCACTAGCGAACTTCTTAGGCAAGAGCAGGCCAAACTCAACGAAGCCAGGAAGATTTCGGTGGTGAACGTGAACCCGACCAACATCCGGCCGCACAGCGACACCCCTGAGATCAGGAAGTACAAGAAGCGGTTCAACTCGGAGATTCTGTGCGCAGCCCTGTGGGGTACGTCAGCCGTCGCCCCTCGGCCGGCCCTGGGCACCAAGACCACTCTGGAGCTCACTGCCTTGACCTCATGAGAGGCCAAAGCAGTTCTATATGAGAAATTGCTGATACCCTAATGCGCAGAATGATCCACAATGACCCTGTCAAGTGACAGTGGTGGATAAGGCCAGGACAGAACTAGCCAGCACAGGACAGTGTCTAGCACCTGTGACTTGCCCCCTGCCCCATTCATTCTCTGACCCATGTGACATCCAAGAAGGACAATGGAATTGCCTGCATTTGGCAGCTGAAAAGCCAGCCCACACATTTTAGTGAGTAGCCCCAGGCTGTTAGCAATCCCAAGATAAAACGGAAAACGAACAGCAAATAACAAGGCAGGACTTCCCTTTAAGTTCAAAGTATCAACCCACAGTTCTTGTGGCAGAAGTCTGCAGGTCTAGCTGACCTCAAACTCAGGGTAGCTGTTACAAGATTCTATCAAAGTCCTGGTCTGCACCACTGTAAATAGCTTAGACAGTTAAAACAAAGTCATGCCCTCTGTGTCCAACCACCATCCTAGGCATGGGTAGGGTACTGTAACTTGATAGGCTGAAAGCATTTGAGATGCAGCACAGAGAGCCCCAAGCCTGGAAACCGTGTTCTGTGGCAGTGATGGGGTCTGTCCTCTGGGGAGGCCCAGAGAAAGCCAGACAGCCACGCTTGATACTGAAAGAGTTAATGTGCAGAGAGCAGGCACCGAGCTGCTCAGAGACCGAGGGACACAAGGTAAGGGGACTAGAGTCATGCGTCCGTGAGCATAGCACAGCGAGCTGAACCCCTCAGGGTGTGTGCTGCGGCAGACAATCACCCTCCCAGGGAGGAATGTTTAGGGTGTAGCTGTCTGAACAAGACTATATACCAGTAAGAACTTGTGTGATAGGAGTTTTTATTTGCAGGGTGGACTACAACAAATCTAGGTACCTGGGACCTCCCCTACAGTCAGAATTTGTGTGGCTCTCAGACTGCTCACACCTTCAGTTGGCCAATTTCATTAACCTAGAAGAGGGTGGCATGTTTCCATTGTTGAGGGAATGGGGCATAAGACAGTTAAACTTTAGTGTGAGGAGGGGGAAGAGTGAAAGCAGAAACCCTGCTGTGAGTTAAAGGCGGGGAGCCAGTGCACAGGACACAGCGAGTTTGGGGTAGGAGAGACCAGATGTGTAGGGAGAGCCGAGAAGGGCGGTGGAGGCAGAATGAGGAGGACTCACTGTGCTAGGCAGTGATGACCAGTCACAACGCATGCTTCTGCCACTGAGTGGAAGAAAGCTGTGACTTCACTGGCAGAGGGACAGGGCTTCCCTGCGTCAGAGCTCCTGCATCGCTCTGCAGCACCTGCTGGTCTGTGCTGAGTCCCCAGATGCACAGGTGCAGGTGTGAGCAGTCGGTCTCCATGCTTCTCTTGCAGGTGTGAACCTCCTGGTGGGAACCGAGAATGGCCTCATGCTGTTGGACCGCAGTGGGCAAGGCAAAGTCTATAATCTGATCAACCGGAGGCGATTCCAGCAGATGGATGTGCTAGAGGGGCTGAACGTGCTGGTGACAATTTCAGGTAGGTACTAGGATGGCATGAACCCAGGTCTGCACAGGTGGGAAAGGTGATTACCCTGCTTCTGAGGAAATAGCTCTGCCTTTCCCAGCTAGCCAGTCACTCAGTAACTATGGTGACATAGCCAGAGTGAGGCCACCTACATGGGGCAACACTGTATATCCCGCCTCCCAAGGGAAGTCCCTGGCCAGACAGAGACACACCTCAAAGGCTGAGTGCTCATGGCCTTCATGTTCCCCTGGACTCCCAGGGACCTCTAAGTTGTCTGCTCTGCCATTACTGCCATCTGCTCCCAGGTGGAGAATGTCAGAACGCCGGCCTCCAGGAGGGAAGGTTAGTAAGTGGAATTTTCTCTGGCGCCTTCCAGCAAGAAACTCTTCCTTCACTCATGTCCTGGCAGGTGCACTGCCCCACTGGTGATCAGGTCTGCAAAGAGGTCTGAGTGCACATCTGGTTTCCAAAAAAAGCAATAAAAAAGAAAAATATGGAGACTAAAGAAGGCCTTGTTACCGACAAGTTTCAAATGCAGCCCACAAGAGGAAAGTTTATTGAAGGAATAGTTTTTTCTTTCTGATGGTGCGTTTAAAAGTTTAACAAATAGCACCCTCTTTGCCCTTCCTGCTCCATTTAGTATGGGACCAAGTACACATCAGACCCCCCAGGGGAGCTGTGAAAACCCAGGCTGCGCCCAGGTCAGGGCCAGCATCTCTGCACGGTCTGGCCAAGCACCAGCAGCCTTCATAGCTCCTGAGGTGCTTCCTCTGTGCAGCCAAGTGTGAGAAGGGGACCCTGTGCGGGGCCACAGCTTCCCAGAGGCAACACAGACATGCTGCTTGGAACCTCGAAGGAAGTTTAACTCTTCAGCTGTACTTCTATTTTGAGAAAATGCTTACATTTGGCTCCACAATTTTTTCTTTCTTTTACCTTTCCCCTGAATGCACAGTTTCATCTCTTTTTATTCTTTCCAAATAAGAGTTGACCAAGTAAATTCATCTTGTACTATACTTTGGGTTTAATTCCATGTAGTTTTTTGTTGTGGTTAATTAATTTCTTGGTTGCTAGATGTCCAAATCAAAAGTAAAACCATACCTTCCTGTCCCCTACCAAGTGGAAATGGGGCCAGAACCTTACACTGGGCTTCCTGTATCTCAGTGACACATCCCCATTCTCAGGTGTGTAGCCGTTCCCTCTTACCTGAGGCACACAGGAGGACGCAGAATTAAACCTTGAGCTGCCCTCAGGTCGCTGTTGGCAGAGAAAGGAGGAAGTGTGTGCTCTCGTATCTGCTGACTGCTATGACTGGCACATGGGCCAGGCCCCTGCTCGCAGAAACAGACCCCGGCTGCCCCTTGCTCCCACTCTTCTCCCAGGAAAGCTAGTGTGAGAGCTTTGTGAACTCTCTTCTGGTACATGATATAAAATACCTGTAAATATAAAACATCTGTAAAGCCTAAGATGAATGACTGGGAAATAAGAGTCCAAGCAGTGAAATGCCCAGGACCAAAGTCATGGTCAGCTGGGAAGAGTCACCCCATGGACGTCGTCTTGTCTGATCCTCGGTGACGCTCTGGAGCATGTTAGATTCCGTGCCCTGTGCTCCTTCCAGGACTGTCTAGTATTTCTTCACCCTCCTGTGCACTCTTCAACCCTCAAAGTCATGTTGCAAAGGGAACTTTAAGTTTTCAAGCTTTTTTTTTCCTTCCTATTTTTTTTGGGTTTTCCTTTCAGTGACTTCACACCATAAACTTGTCCACTGTTACTTTCTGAACCCAAATTGGCTCCACCAAACTTGTTTTTCTTGTTTCCTTTTAAAATTACATTTTTTTGCCAGTTATAAAATAAAACTATTGCTGTCACTTTAAACAACAAAAAACAAAGAAGAGATTCCCTTCTGATACCCACCACTTAGTAGAGGTGAGGGAGAGATAGGGGACATAAGCCAGAAGGTCCCACGTCACCTCCATTCCAGGCGATTAGATATAGAATGTTCTGGAACTCTGATCGGCCACTCTGCTGGGCAGGCAGGCCTTGCTGAGTCCAGCTGACAGAGCTGCCTTTGCAGTGGGGAGAGAATGAGAGCAGCTGCTCCACCCACACCACCTGAAGGGAGGAGATGGCAATTTTGTGATGTGTGGAACTGCTCTAACCCCAAGTTCTGGCAGAGACAGCACTGCGGTGATGATGCTGGGGCACTACGTCCTCACATATACACACAGGCAAACTAAATAAAAAGTGGCGATCAAATTTGTGAACTTGGAACCCTGCTCTCTCGCTGCAGCACTGCGTACAGTACAGCTCACTGAGTCTAAGGGCTGCGTTCGTGCTGATGTGCTGGTGTCTTGCTGGGTGGCGTTTGTTACTACTGTTGTGTGTTTCTGTGTGCCATCAGGAGAATGTCAGAGCGCAAATCAGAACAATGAACAAACTTTGAATTTCTTATTAAACTTGGCAAGAGGATTTGTAGGTATGGTGGTCACTTGGTCATCGGACTGTTGCAGTGGAGTCTGCTGGCTGAATGTGCAGCAGCGAGAACAAGTGGCTCTCCAAAGACTCCAACTGCCACCAACTTCAAGGGGGGGATGCGTCAGTGGGCAACACGAGAAGGTGCGGCTTGAGGCAGCCTTGGGGGCAGAGGGGAGGCTGCTGGTGTTTCTGTGCTCTGACTGCTGGTGGCCACTGGGTGATTTGTTGAGCAGGTGACCAGCCAGGACACCAAATGCATCTTGTTGCACTGTTTCCTGTAATGTTTCTGTGGACAAGTAACAGAAGCTTTTCAAACGTGAAAATGGAAGTGGCTGCATCCTGGAGACTTTGTACTGGGCAGGTGCCACTCAGCCTTGGCTACATGCACAGACACACTCCCGGGATCTTCATTGTAAGAGGGACTTGGTTTGCCTCGGTGTTGAAGCTATTGACAGTTATACTTTAGGGCCCTCTGAAAAGCAAATTGTGTCTGAAGATAAGGAGCTTTTTAATCTTGAAAGCAGAGTTGAAATAGAAAATTCTTTAAAACGGTTGGAAGATGTCTTGAAAGCATTACACATGAAGCTGTTTGAGGTTGAATCAAGACTGTCCTTTACCAGTTCCAACAGCTAAACTCTCTGTGTCTTCATCCTGCCCTGTCCCTCCTCCCCTCATACATTAAATGAGAAGAATTGAAGAATTACTTTTACAGCTCTATTTCCTGGTAAAGAGGTGATTGTTTCCCAAATTCCAGTGTTAAAGCCATGTCGCAATACTTGCTAGGATCACAATTTTGGAGTTTTTATTTTGATAAGAAACTGAGATAATTTTCTGAACTGTTTTCTCCTCTCTATCAAATTTATTCTTCTTCATTTCTTATTTTTTAAAACTTTAATTCACCTTTAATACTTGAGACAATATTTAATGTGAATGGTAAGAAAATCTTACAGGTTTTTCTACCCACGGTATGGTTAAATCTTCTCTGACAACTAAACACATAAAGCTCTTTGGAGAAACTGGACGGATAAATTATTTGTCATTACTATTTGCAAACTTGGACAAGTACAGAATACCACAGATTTATAGTAGGGTTCCACTTTACCCTGTTTATTTACTACTATACAGTTTTAAAATCTGGGCGAGTATTCACCAAAGAGGGTAGAAGTCATCTCTGAGAGTGAGACTCTGGAGAAATTTTCTGTCTTTCAGTTTCCTATAATATGAGACTTTTATAGTGTGCATGTTTATTTTATACTCAGGAATAGAATAAAGATTAAAACAAACAAGAAAACGTTGGCAAGAGTGGAAGTGAAATCAGGGACATGTTAGTCCAAGTTTATAGGGATAATGCCATGGAAGAAAATGGCAGGGTCCACGTGGATTAAACCATTTTCTGAGGAAAGAAAGTGGCACTTTTTCTGAGGAGAGGTCAGGTGGCCAATAACAAGCAGAACTGACAAAAACATTGAAAAAATTCGTCAAAGTGTGGGTCAAAAATCATCTGACTGAGAAGCATAGCAGACAGGATAAACATCCGTAGAGAAACCATTAGGAAAATCTTAAATCTGTGGCATGAGAAAGGTGTATGCAAAAATGGTCTTAAAGGAAGAACAAAAGCAAAGGAGAGTCAAAGTTTGCCAAGACCTTCTGGGGAGGCGAGACCATATTTTGGGCTGTGTTATCACTGGTGACGAAACATGGGCCTATCAATACGACCCTGAAACAAAGCATCAAAGTGCAGAATGGAAGTCAGCCGGTTCTCCATGACCAAAAATGCTTCCATCAGTCTAAATTAAGCATCGAAGGGTGTTCCTAACCTTTTTTGATATCAGAGGGATTATTCATTATGAAATTGTACCATCTGGAAAGTTAACCAAGTTTACTATTTAGAAATGCTCAAAAGGCTATGTGAAAAAGTTGGATGAAAACAACCTGAACTTTTCAGAAACTCATGGTTCTTGCATCACGACAGTGCACCGGCTCACACAGCACTGTCTGCAAGGGAGTTTTTAGCCAGTAAACAAATAACTGTATTGGACTTCTTCTTTTTTTGAAGATTTTGGCCAGGGCTGGGTTTGAACCCACCACCTCCGGCATATGGAGCCAGTGCCCTACTCCTTTGAGCCACAGGCACTGCCCTAAATAACTGTATTGGGATGCCATCCCTCCTCACCTGATCTGGCTGCCAGTGACTTTTCTCTTTACCTAAAGATAATGGAAATATTGAAAGGAAGACATTTTGATGACATTCAGAATATCAAGGGTGATAAGATGACAATTCTGACTGCCATTCCAAAAAAAAGTTTCAAAAGTGCTGGTAAGGGTAGACTAAGCGCTAGCATCCGTGTGTGGCTTCCCAAGGGGAGTACTTCAAAGGTGATGGTAGTGTTACTCAGAAATGAAGTCTGTAGACTTAATTGTCAGACTTTGTAAATAAAGTTAAATGAAATAGAGATTGGGAAGGGCAGAGTAGGAGCTGTCACAGGCCCTGAACTCACTGTTGTTATTCCAACAGGAAAGAAGAATAAGCTGCGGGTGTACTACCTCTCATGGCTGAGGAACCGGATCCTGCACAACGACCCCGAGGTGGAGAAGAAGCAGGGCTGGGTCACCGTGGGGGACCTGGAAGGCTGCGTCCACTACAAAGTTGGTGAGTCTCCCACTGCAGCCATGCCCACTTACATGTGTTTAGTTACATGTACCCATTTTTCCTGCTAGACACTGATGATATTCGTGTGAGCAGTGTAATATGTTGCTGTCACCTTAACATCGCATTATTTCAATAAAGTCAGACTGGTGAGGTTCAAAGGGCACATTCAGTATAAAGTCCTAGGCTCCACAGAGCATGTGCATCTGCTTCCTTCGAAAGGCCCAATAAGGTGACAAGAGAAAAACTAAAATGCCATAAGTGTGAAAACAAAGGGACAAGGAAAGAGAAGCCAGGAAATGAGATGTTCATGAAACCAGCAAGTGGCAGAAGCTGGGACAAAGACTCGCCCATCGGGATGCACTCGGTCTAACTGTGCGGTGAGGGAATTGCCAGGATCACTGCAGTCACTCAGCTCCCACTCTGCAGTGAGGGGACTTCCAGGATCACTGCGGTCACTCAGATCCAACTCTGCAGTGAGGGGACTGCCAGGATCACTGTGGTCACTCAGCTCCAACTCTGCAGTGAGGGGACTGCCAGGATCACTGCGGTCACTGAGCTCTCACTCTGCAGTGATGGGACTTCCAGGATCACTGTGGTCACTCAGATCCAACTCTGCAGTGAGGGGACTTCCAGGATCACTGCGGTCACTGAGCTCTCACTCTGCAGTGAGGGGACTTCCAGGATCACTGTGGTCACTCAGCTCCCACTCTGCAGTGAGGGGGCTTCCAGGATCACTGTGGTCACTCAGCTCCCACTCTGCAGTGAGAGGACTTCCAGGATCACTGTGGTCACTCAGATCCAACTCTGCATTGAGGGGACTTCCAAGATCACTGTGGTCACTCAGATCCAACTCTGCAGTGAGGGGACTGCCAGGATCACTGCGGTCACTCAGCTTCACTCTGCAGTGAGGGGACTTCCAGGATCACTGTGGTCACTCAGCTCCAACTCTGCA